GCAGACTGCCCATCACTGATATATACAGTAAAATACTAAATATCTGAAAATCAGAATACTGAAAATCAATTTCAATGCAAAAGGGTAGGAGAGATTTAAGTGGATTAAACCCCAACTTTTGCACTCAAGTTGCCTGTCGCCATTTCTAAAATTTGCTCGTGCATTTCAAAACTACTCCCCCCACCCAAGAACTAATTAACGGCAACAGCCCATCACTGATATATACAGTAAAATACTAAATATCTGAAAATCAGAATACTGAAAATCAATTTCAATGCAAAAGGGTAGGAGAGATTTAAGTGGATTAAACCCCAACTTTTGCACTCAAGTTGCCTGTCGCCATTTCTAAAATTTGCTCGTGCATTTCAAAACTACTCCCCCCACCCAAGAACTAATTAACGGCAACAATATTTTATGGGTTTGGTTTCTGCACATCAAATAGAGTTCAATTAAAACTAGCAAAGTCTTTATGAATAGTAGGCTGTGTGACCGGCCGAGCTGTTATGCTGTATAATTTTATGGCTTGATAACATGATTGTTTTTTAAGCCTTATGATACTTTTGATTGTTCAGTGTTAGATAAACTGTGATTTAAAGAGCATGAACGCTGATAGGAAACAGACAAAAACACCTGCAAAGTAACACTTTGCATAACTTATTTACTTTGAACAAAAAAGCTTCACCATCACATTACAGCCCTAGGTATCAGAAAAACGTACATAAGACTCATTAATGAGAGGCGGAAGCAACTTGTGCTGGATTTTGTTTAGTTACAGAATAGTCTGAGGCAGCACCAGAAGGGGCCTGGAACCAGTTCCTCTAAAGCGAAAGTTAAAATTCTTCTTTTGCTGACAAAACTGAACAAGTCAGCTGCCATTGTCTGGCAGACCCTGATGCCACAGTAACTGGAGTGAATCCTGTAGGATTTGCTTTGGTTTACAAGGAAAGTTGTGAAAGAGTTGGACACTGTTTTACACACTTCCTCAATTAAAGTCTTTTGGTATTTACAAAGGGGAAAAAACAGCTGGTTCCAATCACTATTGCACTGAAGTCAACTCTGCACTTGAATGGAGGTCCTAATATAAAAAAACAAGAAAAAACCCCACGAGGCACAGTGGATTCAAGTACTGGCCTTTCATCATTGGAAGGCTCAAAACTTGGTCTAGGCAATGAGAGCAAATGACATTTGCCTGCTTGACAAAAGCAAATTCAGCACGACTGGCAACTTATACTCAGGAAAGGCCCAAAATGAAACAGCATGGGATGATGGATGCAGCAGAACTGGGAAAACAGAGTACAGCAAGTCAAGATGATGGGCCTTTGGTTGAATTTGGGGACTAAGAGGGCAGGAGAAGAAGAGAGAGGGAGTTTAAATAGCACATATCCACATTAAGCCTGGGCTGGCCATGGACAGGGGCTGCTGCTGGAGCAGTCTCTGTCCATGGCCAGCCCAGGCTGCCACGAGCCAGGACTGAGCAGTATCGGCTTGTGCTGGTCCAGGACCACCGCGGCTCTGCGCCCAGATCTTACTACATTTAAATTGCAGAGCCACAGTGGTCCTGGGACCAGCTCAAGCCAGGACTATTCAGTCCTGGCTTGCACTGGGTCCATGAGGCTGTTTCTTTCAGGGGCTGGGCCAGCCACAGCCAGAACTCTTAGGATGGATAGTTGGTTAAACTGCAGAGCCGCAGTAGGGGTAGCTCCTGGACCAGCACTAACTGGGAGAGAGCATCTTCTCTTATCAACTAATCATGTAGTGGATACAAATTGTATTGACTACACAATTGGTCAATTACCTGCCTCTTAACATCCTTACTCCCCCCTGCACTCCTAGCTTCCCAGATGACATTAGTACTCTTAAAAAAGGCAGAGAGATTGTTTTCAACTGAAAAAAGCTGATTTAAATTAATGCTCAGAGGCAGCAATTCCTTGATTTGAGGCATATCAATGCTGTATTGAAGCAAAACTAGATCGTCTGCATGTGACCTTAACTTGTGTCCAGAAACAAAATGTCTATTTTTCTTCCATTACAATAGGAATAGCTTACTCACTTGGCTACAGCCAACAGGACATGAGGGTCGTGCTCACACTTCTTCAGGGCATCCACACTTTTGGTCTTTCGCTGTGGTCTTGCCTCAAGGAAAATTGCTTCTGACCATAGGATTCCTAAAAACCAACACACAAATAATTCAATGTTTTTTAAATTCCAAGATTAAACACTACATTGTCCATAACAAGTATGGTAGGTGTTTACATCCAGAATGGAACATGTAATTACAGGAGAACCTCAGAGTTACGGCCTAACTGATCAACCATGCACCTAATTTGGAACCAGATGTATACAACCAAGCAGTAGCACATGGGGCAATAAAGAGCAGCTACAATGTTATGTTAAATGTATAATAAAAATGAAGAGACAGTTTAAAAAAGATGTAACAAGGCATTTCTGTGCTTGTTTCATTTTACATTAAGATGGTAGAAAACAGAATTTTTCTTCTGCATAGTAAAGAAAGCTATATTAAGTTAGCGTTCAGTTATAAACTTGTGAAAGAACAACCCTTAATGTCTTGTTCAGCGCTGTGAATGTTTCAGAGTAATGAACCTCCATTCCCAAGGTGTTCGTAATTCTGAGGTTCTATGCTACTGTCTCAGACTTTCGTGCCCGAGAGGAGCATTATAATGATCTAGCCTGACCTCCTGCATACTGCAAGCCACAAAATCTCACCCCTCCACTCCTGAAGCAGGCCCAAAACTTCTGGCTGAATTACTGAAGTCCTCAGATCTTGACTTAGTACTTCCACTTACAGAAAATCCACCACTGATCCTAGTTCAAAACAGCCCCTGAGCTGTACCGCATGCTGCAGAAGGAGGTAACCCACTCTGGGTCTCTGGCAATCTTACTTGGGAAAAAAATTCTTTCCTGACCACACATAGGACAGTCAATGAAATTTTGCTAACATAAGTCATGGATCAGCCTTATGTCATTGTAGGCAATCCTACCATCACCTCCATAAACTTACCAACCTCAGTCTTAAAACAAATTAGGTTTATTGCTCCCACTTTTTCCTTTGAAAGGCTGCTCCAGAACTTTCCTCTTCTGATAGTTAGAAACCTTCATCTAATTTCAAACCTAACCACTTACTGATGGCCAGTTTATATTAATTTATTCTCATGCCAATGTTGGCTCTTAACTTAAATAACTCTCCCTCCCTGCTGTTTATTTCTATGATGTATTTACAGAGAGCATTCATAGCTCCCCCACTAGTTCATTTTATTTGGCTAAACAAGCCAAGCTGCTAACATCCCGTCTTGTAAGGTAGGTTCTTAACTGAGCATTTTAGTAGCCCTTCTCTGCACCTACTGCAGTTTGAATTCATCCTCTTACAGACAGGAGCTCAGAATTGCACACAGTATTCCAAATGAGGTCTCACCAGTGCCTTGTATAATGGAAATAACACTTGCCTACTTCTACTGGAAATACCTCATCTGATGCATCCTAGGATTACATTAGCCTCTTTCACAGCTGCATCACATTGGTGGTTCACAGTCATTCTGTAACGGACCAACTTAATGCTCAAATAGCTCTCATCAAAACTCACTCATTTTGTACTGAATGCTTGTTGTGTGTTCGTCCTGTATATTAAGTCTCCATCTATGAAGAGCTTCTAAAATACACACACTAACTTTCCATCTGCTTTGGTAATTAACACACTAGGTATGTGCCAGCCTGAAGGCTTTCAGCTGAGTCCACCACACAACCGGAACAGAACTATCCTCAACCCTCTTCTGGAGACCTTGTATCATGCAACACAGAAGACTGGTGTTATGTGGTAGCCACTGGTCATTTATAGATACATCTGAGAGTGATTTTTGAACAGCTATCCCACAAGTGCAAGTAACACTGTAGTTGTACAGACAAATCACATTCATTGTCTGCATACTAATTCAGTTAATTCACGAGTACCAAAGGTGCAGCACACCTGTCAACTTTCCAGTGGTTAGCATTAGAGATGTTAAATATCAGTTAATTGAATAGTCGAGTAACCCTATGAATTCTTATTGGTTAGTCGACTATTCTATAGTCTCTGGGGGCGGAGGGCCAGCAGCCAGTGCACTCCAGCCCCACGCCACTCCATGCTGCTGCCTCTGTATCAGAGGCAGCAGCACAGGGTGCCAGGTGGGAGATGGTCCACAAAGGGAGCCAGTTTAAAAACCAGTTCCCCTCACAGACCAGCTGCCTGTCCCTGTGTGCTGCTGCCTCCGATAGAAGCAGAGGCAGCAGTGTGGGATGGTAGCAGCCCCTGTCTAGGGGTGATCTGAGCTCCCGGAACTGAGCCAGGCTGCTTGCCCGCCTGGCTCCTACTACACTTTAAACACAGAGTCACAGTGGGGGTAGGTCCTGGACTCAGCATGAGTCAGGATTGAGCTGGGCAGGCAAGGATGCGCGCGATAGTCTATAGCATTAACCTATAGGCTTCTGCTTATTGGTTAATCGGTTAATCAACTACACTATTACATCCCTAGTTAGCATGATGGGATAAACTAGTGAAACTTTCCTGAATCATGCACCCAGTGCAGTTCCCAACAACACTGCCAGCAATTAGAAACAAAGCTAAAATGCCTAAAAATAACTAAGTTTCTAGGAATCTGTTACAAAGGGGCATTTAATGTGAAAATAACAGATCACCCATAGTCGTTATTGGCAGATTGGCCATAGCCAAACCTGAGCCGGTCTACACTACAAAGTTTTGCCTGTACAGTTTTGGCCAGGAATCCGGGGAGGGCAAAAATCACACCCCATAGCGAAGATAAGCTATGCCAGCAAAACACCATGTAGATGAAACTATGCTGACAGAAGAGTGAGGTGCTTATGCTGCATCTATACTACAAAGCTCTGCCAGCCCCGCACTTTTGCTAGGCAAGCCCATAGTAAACAGCCAAGACCAAAAAGGTTACCAAATCTCTTGAATAGCCAGGTGTGAAATTGCATGTAATTTGTAGGGGACTCACTACATCTATTAAAGAACTATCAACTCTCATCTCTTCAAAGCAAACACAACAGGTAACTATTCTCTGGAGGAAAAACATTAAGAGCTGTGATACATGCCACCTGGAAGCAGTCTGAAGAGTTTGACAAGAAAACTGATGTCCTCCCAAGGATACTGACTGTATACACTGCAGCCAACAGACCAGTCATAGTGGGACAAGAAAAAGTGCTCTCAGTGCCCAAGGAAGTTTAAGGTTACACATCCCAGAGAGTTTTTCTTTCCTTGCCAAAAGCTGAAAAGGAAATCTGCTCAAATGAGCATGAAATCTTCTCTTTCACATGTCAGCCAGCCACACTCGTCGAACGTTCTAGATCTGGGCAAACGTTCAGAAGTCTCACATCTGCCAGGATTCCATCGGGTGGTTCAGAGCAGTAGCTCCCTGTAAGTGGCAGCTGCTTATGCACCATAGGTAAGGCTACAATTTCGTCATGAATATTTTTAGTAGAAGTCACGGAGAGGTCATGGGCAATGAACCAAAATTTACAGATGCTGTGACCTGGCCCTGACTTCTTCTACAGGTTGATCTTCTATCTTCCAGGACTCCGTGGTCCGGCAGAACCCCAGCCACAGAGATTGCCAGTGGCTGGGAGCTCAGCCAGTCTGGCAGCCTGCAGGCCCAGTGGCCTGAGAGCAGCAAGCCCAGCCAGCGGGTCAGGAGCCAGAGTGGGATCGGCAACTGGGAGCACAGAGCTCCACTAGTCACAGCAAATCAGCTGTGGCTCCCCAGCTATGGACAAGGAGACCCTCCAGCCAGGATCTAAGCTCCACTAGCCAAGCTGGGAGCTAAGCTCCACCAGTCGCAGCAGGACAGCTGCAAGGGAAGGGAGCCCCGTTAGCTAGGGACTGAGCTCTGCTGGGCACAGCAGGCAGACTGCTGGGGCAGAAAGCACCACTGGTGTGGAGTGAAGCTCTGCCAGCTGGGGACAGGGAGCCGTGCCAGCCGTAGTGGGGCTAGGGACCCAGACTGGATCCCTACCAGCCAGCCAGGGGCAGCACACTGGCCAGGCTGATGGCCAAGAGAAGAGTCTCACAAGAGTCCCAGGCCTGACCTTCCCTGGTCAAGGACAGCTCAGGTCCCGAGGGTGCCAGACCAGGGAGGTCCAACCTGTAGAAACATTCCTGACAAAACAAGGGAGGAGGGTCCAGCACTCTGCCTCTTTCTTGCAACAGCTGGGGGGAACGGAAGGGCCCGCCTCAGCACAGTGTCTGGGAGCTGGATGAGGTCCCCCTGCCTACCTGCAGGGCTGGAGAGCTGGGAGGGGGCTGCCAGCATCGTCATCTATGGAATAGGCATGTTAAGAAGCGGGTATTTCACTAACTGTGCACTCAATGAATTTTTATCGACTACACAATTAGTCAATAAGGGAAGGTGCTCAGTTCTGGCTCACGCTGGGACCTACTCCCATTGTGGCTCTGCAGTTTAAATGTGGTAAGAGCCAGGCGGGCAGAGGGGGCAGAAAGCCCGGCACCAACCTGCTGCGGCACCAAAAGCCAAGGCTTTCATCACGCTTTAACAACAATTAAGCATTTCAAAGCTCCAGTGGGATATGATGGATAAACTAGGCCACAGGAAGTTATCACTGGCTGATGTCAACTGATTAAACCACACCTACCATAAAATGTGTTAACTTTTTTTTTTTAAACTTAACATCTTAAGGACAATCTACTGATGGATGGAAATCTGTTGTGGATACAAACTCTTTAAATCAGTTCAGACGCACAAAACCTAATTCTTAGATAAAAGGCAGCTGCTGTAATAGTCTTCTGAAGAAAAAAACTACTAAACCAGCTTCACAATGCAGACATTGTCAAGGTGCCAACACGCTCCAACATAAGGAATTCTCTGCGCGCCTACTCATAGAAGTTGCAAAGAAATCTCACCATTCTTCCACTAAACCATGCCCTGCTGAATAGTTCTACTCCACAAACAATCTCATAACCCAGAGTGCTTGCATTCAACCCCTGAACCCAGCACCAATGTTCCCTCTTACATTTTTCCCACGTGTGCCAACATGGAAGTGATGTGTGACATCGCTTCCATACTGGTGCATATAACAAAATTCATCAAGCATAGTTGGGATCGAGAGGTTCAGCATGTGGGAGGGGACTCAGGGCTGGGGCAAAGGGTTGGGATGCAGGGGGAGTGAGAGCTCTGGGACTCTCCCCAGCTTTCTCTTCTCTCAGAAGCTGCTGAGGGAGAGGTGCGTCTCCGCAGCCATGGCAAGTCCAGGGCTAGGGGAGAGGCGTCTCTCCTTACAGAAGTCCTTGAGCACCTGTGCAGCCTTTGATAGGCTGCTGCACAACCACGCAACTTAGAAGGAACTTAGCCCAGCACCTCTTTTAAACAGGAGACATCAGTTTAATTCTCAGACACTAAAAATCACTGTGTCCAAGATGCTCTCTCGAGAAACCAGGAACAAGATATTGGGCAGTCCTGGTAACAGAGCCCAAACACCATGTCAAGAAAACTGAACCACCTGTGAACAATCATGCCTTTCTCTTCAGGCAAAAGTCAAAGGCATCTGGGACCGCTAACAGATCTGTAATACTTATCATAATTTGACCAGTTCATAAGAGGCCATCACTAGTAGAAACATTTTAGAGAAATGAGGAACCCTCTTATCCATCAAACAAAAATAACTGCATTTCAGAAAAAAACAGCTTCTCCTTACCCGAGTTGGGACATTCCTGCAATGCCTTGGCCATCAGTGTGTTAGCAATGTTCTTCAGTCCGGCTCTGTATTCTAATCGCACAGACTCTAACCTGGTGTGGAAAAGACACCGTTTTAATATCTCAATCCAGTATCTAAGAAAGCAGGAGCCAATCTGAGAGATTTCATTAGAAGGAGATGGGACTTAAGAACACATCTACCACGGCTCTGTGCAGGTTCTAGGGGACTAATTTTGCTCGCTCTAATAAGCTCATTGGGCTAAATGTGTTCAGCACGAAATCTTGGAAGAATCAATGACAATTATAATTTCCCATCTAATTGGTTAAACGATAATTGTGACCCACATTTTGTAAGAGTCATCTTAAATAAAAGCATTTAGAGGAGACTGAATCAACATGTAAATCGAAAGACCTGGTTTCAGAAAGGTAGCTTTGCTTAACACAGTTTCCATTAACAGAAAACAGTTGGCAACCAACTGCACACCCAAAACTTGTATGATGATGACCGCTGTGCCCTAGAAGAGCCCCCTCGGGGAGTGCAGGTGCGCAGAGAGGAATCGCTGTCCCCAAAGCAATATAGCGAGACAGTCAGGATTTCCTTCAGGATGCATGCAATAAAAGAGAATCTACACTGGAATGGCAGGAGGTCAGGGAAGGGGGTGAGGTGGTTAGCATAAAGACTACATTGTCCTCATCGTACATGTGTACTCAAGTTCAGCTGCACGCTACTCACCACAGGTCTGGATTCTTCGGATTCTTCAAACGAGACTTCTCCAAGATGGCTCTTGCTCTGGTCAGCTGCCCGACTTTTTCCTCCAGCCTGGACAGCAAGAGCCAGAGAGGTGTGGAATGGGGGCACTTCTTCAGCTATTTAAAAGAAAGCAAAAGGGTTAGGGGCAACAGGGAGAGAAAACGATGATGGGGAGTTCATATTATTGCCTGCTTTTGACACCCAAGCTGCAGAGTCACTTCCAGAAAAGTGAATCCCCAATGAAATGCCATCTCTGGAGTGTCCGTGGAGGAGGAAATGGGAGGCACTGGTGTAATTTGATGTTTTTCACACCCTCTTGGTGAGTTTTAGAAAAGGAATCCCTGTGAAATAGTTGTTTGTCACTAAGTTCTAGAAAAAATAGAGCAATGCATTGTGGATTACTGAGTCACCTCGGTGCTGTGAGGAAACACAGCTTGACTGAAAGGTATATTTACAATCTGTGCTGTGCCTTGAGATGAAACATGTATTGACGCACCAGCAGAGAAATGTCGTACCCAGATGAACGTTTCCTTTGACATGAACAGACTTTATGCCACTTTCAGTCTCCAACAACTAACATGTCTCCACATTAGTTTCAAGGCTAAATTTAAGAGCATTCACTTCTTTTCCACATGACACGTAGGATATGCCTCAATATATCTGAAGTATATGGCAACATGCATCTTTTTGGAGGCAAATGCATTTCATTGAACTACATAAGCTCTCTTCTTGCACTTTGCTCCTCTTACCTACAGACAGACACTTTTTTTGATAGCCATTAGACTATTAAATAGAAAAAGTATGCATTCTAAAGAGGAAATTCAATTTCCCCTTCCCCCAATCAAGAACAAACATATGGCCAGCTTCCTCCTAACACTGTCAAAGTGCCCAAAATACTAGGTATCTCAGTTATAGCATAACAGCCAATCTACTTGGAGGTGTGGTTTGATGTTTTAAACTACAGAGCATGAATGTGTGGCAAAGATGAGATGAGTTTCTCATTTTACATAAGACAAATTGGAATGCACCAGATATAACCTGAAATAAGAATATAAAAGTGGCCATACTGGGTCAGTACGTGTCTAGTATTGTGTCTTCAGACTGTGGCCAATGCCAGGTGCCCCAAAGGGAATGAACAAAACAGGTAATTATTAAGTGATCCATCCCTTGTTGTCCATTACCAGCCTCCAACAGAGGCTAAGGACACCATTTCTGAACTACTCTGCCTAGCTAATAGCCATTGATGGACCTATCCCTCCATGAATTTAGCTAGTTCTTTTTAAAATCTTGTTAAAGTCATCGTCTTCACAACATCCTCTGGCAAGAAGTTCCACAGGTCGATTGTGTTGTAGGACGAAATACTCCGTTTTGTTTGTTTTAAACCTGCTACCTATTAATTAAGTTTTGTGAAAGCCTTTTGAAGCTCTTCACAATCTGCTTTGGACAGAACTATCTCGAATACAATTTTATTTCACCTGCAAATTTTGCCACCTTACTGTTTACCCCTGTCTCCAGATCATTTATGAATACACTGAATAGGATTGGTCCCAGGACGGACCCCTTGGGGACATGACTAGTTACCTCTCTTCATTCTGAAAACTTAACCATTTATTCCTACACTTTGCTTTCCATCTTTTAACCAGTTATCAGTCCATGAGAAGACTTTCCCTCTTATTCCATGACAACTTTTTTTGCATAAGAGCCTTTGGTAAGGGACCTTGTCAAAGGCTTTCTGGAAATCTAAGTACACTATATCCACTGGATCCCAAGTTACGCTAGCAGAGGATAAATTCTACCCAGAGACTTTAGCGTTGAGCAAAGGGTGAACATCTTTCTCATCACTTAACCATTCCTATGTGATCATTCTACACTTTTAGCAAGAGGTCAGTGTTTGGCCCACCAGTCTGCCAGGGACAGATTCCTACAAGTTACAGCGTTGGCTTTGAGGAAAATAGACAATACATGATTTCCCAATATGGAAGGCATGAAGCAGAACCAATCATGTCCATCCTTACCCCCTGATTATAGGCTTCCCGAGCCTTTTCTATTAGCTCGTCTTGCTCCTCTATCTGCCCTTTCATCATCCACAGCTTGGGGAAGTCTTCATAGTGCTTCAGGGCTTCCTCACAGAGCTCCTGGGCAGCAGCAATGTTCCCGAGCACCCATTCCAATTTCACCGATTTCATAAAGACCTAAGACCAGACAAGAAGGTGCTTTATCATTAGCAATTATTGATCCAGTATCGATTCCATGTTCCACAAGCATACCACTATTAAATGCACAGACTACATGCATATTTTTCATGCTTATAATTGGGACAATTCATTTAAAGCTAAAAAAATTCTGGGAGTCAGCAACAGCTAGAGATAACACAAAAGTTATCCAGGATTTGGAACAATACAATTAAACGTAACCCTTGTCCCAATTATAAGCAGAATGCAGATAGTGATATTAAGGAAGAGTTCTAGGCAAAAATATTTAGGCAGTAGTAGAGCAAATGAATATGAGTTTGCTCGATGGCTTTCCTATCACATCCACTTTCATTTTCCAAGTCTCTACCATAGTTGTAAATCTGACTCCCAGGACCTCTTTCCTTCCTTCCTCATATGCCAAAGCTCTAATCTCCAAGGCTAAGGCCCACTAGGTGCAGTTTTCAATTATTTCCTTTACCATCTAGAAGTACAGATGTTAAGTATCGGGTAATTGATTAATCAAATAGTCCATGCATTTTTGCATCAACAGTTCAATTAGTCAATAGGGCACCTCTGCCTTTGAAGTGTAGCAACAGCTCTAGAAAAATATGCATTAGAAAGTCTTACCTACAAATAGGATTGTTTCATTTTTCAAAGTGAGAAATTACATGAAAAACATGCTTTATGCAACATGACTATTACTTGAACTGTCAGCTGTAACTGGGAATTTCTTGACTTTTGCCATCTGTGTAGCAATTAAAAATTGTAATGGATCCTAGCCTTTTCCTCATAATACATTTACTGCATGTTGCAATGAGTTGGGGAAGCCTCGTCCCGCAAAAAACAAATAGCAGGATGCCATCTGGTAAGTCTCTGGAGCCATGGAAGTGAAGGAGCTCCCTCTTCTTCCCTCCCTTCTCCCCCCACTCCAAAAGATGACTCTTTCCGCCCATCATGTGTTCTTACTCTGGCTGTGGGGGCACTGCTACGCGCTTTCGCCAGTAACCTCCTCGCTCTTTCATATTCATTGTTTTCAGACTCCAGCTTCACTGCAGCCAGCCAGATCTCTTCACTGTTGGGGTTGGCCTACAGAACAGAGCAACAGTCAAATATATACTCTGATTCATTAGACGATTTAATCCTTTGTTTGATTCAGATTAAAATTGTAATCCATCTACATGGGGATCCTTTCAGTTCAAACTCTTCCCAATCATCATGGCCTTTTAAGGTTACAAAGAGTGCTCCCAAACAGACCCACGATCCAAGGATCTACGCCAGTGTAGGAATTGGACCTTTCATTTCTAAACTGCTCAGAAGAGTTGCCCCTTGAACCTTCTTCTGAACTGTCAGTTAAAGTGGTGGAAAGATTATAAGGCCGATACAGGGAATCTTTTATTACCTCTGTATACAGTGCCTGTCAAAGTGAACCCTTGATCCCGGATCAGGGTCTGTAAGGGCTCCTGCAGTACAAATAACTTCAGGGCATCAATGCTGGGAAAGGTTCAGAGCTCTATGAACAATTAAAAATCCCCAGAACCTTGCTGTGAAATGAAAAATCAGTCACCACCACCAATAAGAAAGAGTCTCTGTTTGGAAAGTCCATTCTCTACAGCACCAGCACTATGGAACGTCCCCCTCCTTCCAGTGTCTGGAGGGGAACTCCCTTCATCATGCAGTGGGCTGATTATACTGGTCTCAGCTACAGACTATTCCAGGGAGCAAGCATGAGGGCTCGACACTATCCGGGGGTGCAGTCCTGGTCCTGGAATCCAAACCTTTTATGGTCTTGGATAAAATCTTCACTCATCTGTGTCCAAAGGGGAGGTCATAAGGTGCAGTGGGTTATTATTATTATTATAACCCATACATACTGAGTCAAGCACACACAGTGGGCATGTAAGGCTGGTGCATATCGTTGTCTTGTTTTAACGGGGATTATGTGCGCGCAGAGGGGAACCGAAGGTTTCTAGCCGGCCTGCCCAAAGTCCAATGCATGCATGCAAGGCAGTTGAGCGGCTCTGTATAAGCGAGGGACACAGATGATCTGCAGAGTGTGTATGTGGGGGGGAGGGGGGGAGTAGACTCATTCATCCAGACAGGAGCGGGGAACCTTTCTTGGGTTGGGGGCCACTGACCCAAAGAAAAATCAGTCAGAGGCCGCACACAAATGAGACGCTCCTGACGGAGAAGGAAAGAGACACTCCTCATATTCCCCTCACACACCAGATCCTAGGAGGGCCCAGGCTAGCAGACTGTGCGCATTCCAGCCCTGTGGGTGGGTGGCAGGAGGGATGGAGCACCAGGGTGGGCTTTCCAATGCGGGGGAATCCCTGAGCCTTGGAGGCTGGATCTAGGTAAGCCAAGGGCCACATCCAGCCCCAGGGGCCTGAGGTTCCCCACCCCTGATCCAGGGGAGCCTGCTTATCATAGGGAGACTGCTAATTCAAGAACTGGGCTGGGAATGGCAACTGTGAAAGGGTTGTCTCCTACAGGGTTGCTTCCAGCCTGCTTTTTAATTCTACCAGGGAAACGCAGACTCAAAAAGGAATGGAAGTGCTGCCATTGTGAAAGGCTGACTCTACTGCTGTGGGAGCTCAGAGCCCTCTAGAGAAAGGACCTACCCACTTGCTTTCCTCGGTCCCATCCTGGCAGTAATTAAATTATGCAGGTGCCACATGCTCAAGTCTGCCAAATGAAGGTTACACCCACCTGGAAAGCCAGGGCCAAAATGCTTCTGGCTGCAGGCACATCTCCAGCCAGCCACTTTGATTTGGCTCCCATGAGCCACAACACTTCTGCTTTAGGACAGTGAGCCACAGCTCTCTGCAAGAGAGCTTCCAGCGACTCCCTGAAAGAAGAAAAAGTGAGCTATGCTAACTCGAAGGCACATGAATAAAGCTGAACTGCCAGACTTCCATTATTACTTGATGTTATCAATAGTTATAGTTGCAAAGTCCAATGTTGTAAACTTTGATAAAGCAGGTCTTTTCCAACATTATCAGCTGAAGTAGCCTGGATCACACTGATAAGGTGTTATGCTTTCAGTAGAGTAAAAGTGTATTTCACAAGTGAAATGAAGGGGCTAAAAGTCAGTGACCACCAGGAAACTCAAAAGGCTATTGACACTCGTGGAGAGGGGGAAAAAAAAAACCTTGAGAAAATGCTTGAACATTACAAGCTTAGTCTCCGAGCCAACAAACAATTACATATGAATAGTCCCATTGGTTTTAGTGGGATTACGTGTGTGTGTTTATGTTTGTAGGATTGGAGCCATGGACATGTATATGTTTAGCCCCTCTACCACCTTTCAGAGGAGAAAATATTAGATGCTTGTGACACAGCACACGCTTTAAGATGAACCAAACCACAGAGGTTTCTTTTTCTAAGTTCAAGTTCAAGAGAAATCTTAATCAGAACATTTATCTGATATAAATCAGCAAAACTTTTAATTAAAAAATGACTGAGGATCTCCTTGTACACACAGTGAGTCACTGACCACCTGTTGTGCCTAGAGAAATTTAAAAGAAACAGATGCTACATTTCTAGGGGTATGTCTACACTAGGGGATAAGGTCGAATTAAAATACGCAGCTCCAGGTATGTTAATTGCGGAGCTGAATTCGAAGTACCTTAACTTGAATTTTGGCACTATCCATATGGCAGGACATCAAAGGGAGCACACTGCCCCTTCGACTCCCCTTACTGCTCATGGAAGCAGGAGTACCAACATCAACTGAAGCACCCCTCTCTCTCAGTTCAAATTAGCATGTCTTCAAGAGAGCCGCTAATTTGAACCCTGGAAGATCGACTGCAGCAGCTTCGATCTTCTCTGTAGTGTAGACATACCCCATGTAATTTACCATCCTACATTCCGACCATTTGTAAGATGCCTCATTCCCAAGAGGCTTAGCCCATACCTCCATATCACACCCGCCTCTTTTTAATGACTCCACACCAGTCCTACCCCACACACTTCAGAAATGTAAGAACGCCCTTTTGGTAGCATCAGAATTTTTTCAGTAGACGTACCTGGTTCCATGGTTCTTTTCGAAGTAGGCTGCTCGCAACCACACACTTTTTTTGCTTGGGAAAACTTGTAAAGCATAAGCATAAATTGCCCGAGCACACTCTAAGGCATTGTGAGCAACACACTAGAGAAAAACAAAGGGGGGGGGGAGAAATCAAAATGGAGTTAGTAGAGGGTCTAGCTATGTAAAGTGCAGGATAAGGATGTTAAATTGCTTTATCTGGCTAAACATGTAGTCGATACAATTTGTATTGGTTACACGATTAGTTGATAAGGGCCACTCTGCAGAGTCGCAGGGGGGTAAAATCCTGCAGCCTCCTGCACTGCAGCTCTACATTTTAAATGTAGTAAAAGCCGCTGGGCTCTTGCTACATTTAAAATACAGAGGCGCAGTGACCCAGACCAACACGAGCCGGGACTGCTCGGTCCTGCCTTGCGCTGAGTCCAGCAGCCCCTGTTCACAGAATCCAGCAACCAGAGCAGCTTCCCCAATCCTCCTCTCCCCCCCCTGCCTCTATCAGAGGCAGCAGGGAGTGGGAGGCAGCACCACAGAGACAGTGCTGGGAGGAACTGGCTTTTAGGCCGGCTCCCCCCAGCACTGGCTCCTGTTTCCCCCCCACACACCTTCCTGCCTTTCATACAGAGGCAGCAAGGGGGGAGAAGCAAGTAGCTGATGTGCTGGTCAACTACCCTGTGCTTACTGGGTAGTCAACTACTTGCTAACATTCCTAGTGCAGGATACAATAATGTACATATCAATGGTAGCAGAGCTCAAGGTTTTACAAGGATTCTATTGAGTGGTATTTACCAAATCCATATATTAGCAACAGGACAAAAATACTAACAATCACTTAGTAGATATTAATTATAAACTGGATTTGGAATAATTCTAAGTAAGGTGCAATGGTGGGATTCTCATCAGCACATGAGTGTCCCAGGAACATGTATGCTACTGATTTCCAATTGGGCTTGTGCTCTTAAAATCACTCAGGTGACTTTTAAAATTCATTATTTTTAAAATTGGCCATATATGCTTATATATGCACTGCTTACTTACAGAACTCCCTAGTGAGCATGCTTACATGTGCACAAATGTTTTATAGGCTCAACTGCAGGCCAACATATTGAAAATGTAGCTAGCAGACTCACCTTGGGGAGGCCAGATCTAGAATAGCAAGGTTGCAGCAATTCAAAATTGAGATGTGCTAACAGAATTCAGAGGCAAACTTGCACAGTGCTTATCTGCATCTGGCCAGCAGCAGCATCTCTTCATTTTCACAAAAACAGATCTAACTTCCCAATAGCCAGTCCCTTTTACCAACTGCACTTTAAAGAAGACAGAAGGGCCATAAGCAGACATACGCTATCTGCATCTTCCATCCAAGTATGTTTCCGATCTTCTTCTTCGATCCCAATTCCAATCACAGCTCGCATAATAGCCTGACATGTGGCTACACTCCCAGCTTTATCACACTCCTCAGCATCCTAGAAAAAATGAGAGCAACACTAAGACAGTCTGATTTCAGTCTGAAAAGCCAGCAAAGGAGACAGTACATTCTATAGCAGGCCTGGGAAAATATTGCCCCGTGGGCCAAATCCGGTACAACAGGGTTAGCCTCTGGCAGGATGCCACCACTATATTTATCTGCACCTCTGTAAAAATTACTTAGAAAACCTAGATGTCTTCAAGTCACCAGAGCCTGAAGAAATGCATCCTAGAAAACTCGAGGAGCTGATGAAGGAGGTAGCTGAGCCTTTAGCTATCATCTTTGAAAAATCATGGAAGTTGGGAGAGATTCCAAAAGACTGAAAAAAAGGCAAATATAGCGCCCATCTATAAAAAAAGAAATAAGAACAACCCAGGAAACTAATGGCCAGCCAGTTTAACTTCTGTGCAAGGAAAGATAATAGAGCAGGTAATTAAGGAATTCATCTGCAAACATCTGGAAGAAAATAATGTGACAGGTAACAGCCAGCATGGATTTGTAAAGAACAAATCATGTCAAACCAATCTAATACCTTTCTTTGATAGGATAACAAGTCTTGTGGATAAGGGAGAAGCAGTAGATATGGTATACATAGACTTTAGTAAAGCATTTGTTGCAATCTTGCATGGCCTTCTTACCAATAAACTAGGGAAATACAACTTATGGGGCTATTATAAGGTGGGTGCATAATTGGTTGGATAACTGTTCTCAGAGAGTAGTTATAATGATTCACGGTCATTCCGGAAGGGCATATCAAGAGGAGTTCTACAGGGGTCTGTTTTGGAACTGGTTCTGTTCAATATTTTCATCAGCGATTTAGATATTGGCATAGAGAATATGCTCATTAAGTCTGTAGATGATACCAAGCTGAGAGGTGTTGCAACTGCTTTGGAGGACAGGGTCATAATTCAAAATGATCTGGACAAACTGGAGAAATGGTCTGAGGTAAATAAGATGCAGTTTGATACAGACAAATGCAAAGTATTTCACTTACAAAGGAACAATCCGTTTCTCACACACAGAATGGGAAGTGACTGTTTAGGAAGGAGTATTGCAAAAAGAGATCATGGGGTCATAATGGACCACAAGCTAAATATGAGTTAACAGAGTAACTGTTGCAAAAAAAAAAAGTAACCATGATTCTGGGACTCATTAACAGGAGTGTTGTGAGCCAGACTCGAGAAGTCATTCTTCCGTTCTACTCTGCACTGATTAGGCCTCAAATGGAGTATTGTGTCCTATTCCGTGCACCACATTTCAAGAAAGATGTGGAGAAATTGGAGAAGATCCAGAGAAGAGGAACAAAAATGAGCTAAGAGGGAAGCCTGAAGGAACTGGGCTCTTTAGTTTGGAAAAAAGACGACAGAGGGGACACGATAGTGGTTTTCGGGTATCTAAAAAAGTGTCACAGGGAGGAGCAGGGAAAATTGTTCTCCTTGGCCTCTGATGATAGGACAAGAAGCAATGGGCTTAAACTGCAGCAAAGGAGGTTTAGGTTGGACATTAGGAAAAGCTTCCTCACCGTAAGGGTGGTTAAACACTGGAACAAATTGCCTAGGGAGGTTGTGGAATCTCCATCACTGGAGATATTTAAGAGCAGGTTAGACAGACACCTGTCAAGTATGATCTAGACGGTGCCTGGTCCTGCCATGAGGGCAGGGGACTGCACTTGATCTCTCAAGAGCCCTTCCAGGTCTATGATTCTAGGTATGGGAGATTGCAGCTCCTGTTGGCTGTGGATCGTTGTTCCCAGCCAATGGAAGCTGCAGGAAGCAGTGTTTTGGTCTGCACCGCTTCCCACAGCTCCCATTGGATGGGAACGGTGATCTGCAGCCAAGAGTTGCCATCATATTAATCTGCGGAGGTGCAGGTAAATATAACAGAAGAGGCCCGCCAGGGACTAACCCTGGTGAACTGCCACCATTTAATTGCCCACCCCTCTTCTATAGCATCCTTTGCACAAGAAGAACTGACAAAGCATGACCTCCCCAGTCTGGAAGAGCCCCCTCTCCATTTCATCAACTCTCTTTGGACTAAGCCAACTGTGGATTTTGCCAAAATAAAATGCTGAAACTATGTAGAGAAGTGGGGAGGAGGAGTGAGATGGGATGAGAGAGAGCACAAGATAAGAAATGCTCCAACATAGACTGAGCCATGAAATTAACAAAAATCATATGCATGAAAACAAATGCACAAATAGAGGGTGGTGGCATGAATGCTCAGAACCTCAAAATTACTGAGCTTCCTTTCAGTTTGGCTTGATCCTTAGATTTCAGTATTTAAATAAAACCCTGCTGGTCACCACTAAGTTAAGGAACATTTTGTACATTTATCAGAACACATGGGGGAGGGGGGGGGGGTTTGTTTTAATATACACAACTCAAAAAAATTAAACAAAGTTTGTGCAGATTTGCCAAATTCTGCTTTTGACAAAACATCCAGCATTGAAAATTCCAGCATTATGTTAGTTTGAGAAAGAAAAACAGCAAGGTTTATAATGGAAGTTTATTTTCAACCTTAATTAGATTGGTTCCTACCTCTATAAATAAAATGGTATCTGTTTTCGATTAGAGATATGATAGTGAAAAAATGTAAATTGTTAACCAATGAGCCTGAGCTCATCAGTTAACTCACACAGTAATATGCAGGCTCCCCTGCCCTGCACTAAGACAGCAGCAGGGGGGAAGGCAAGAGTTGGTGCTCACAAGGAGCCAGCTTTTAAGCCGGCTCACTCTGAGCACCAGCTCCCAGGGAGTCACCTCCCCCTCACTGTCTCTGATACAGAGGCAGCAGTGCAGGAGGACAGGTGGGAACTGGTACACACGAGCAGCTGGCTTTTAAATTAAAATTAAAATTAATGTATTAAGGTAAACACGTAACTGCTGACAATTTCAGCCGCTACAGGTTTACATAGGGTATCAGAGACAGCAGGGTGGAGGTGGGCAGATGCCTCTTCCCATGTAAACATATAACTGCTGAAAACTTCAGTGGCTCTATATTTACTGAAATAAACACATTTTAACATCCCTCATTTAAATAATGGGAATGGTAGTTTTATAAATTACCAATGATTTTCCTTAGTGAAATTCTTCTGAGTGGTGTGCCAATTGTGCAATGCAGAGGTGAAAAAGCTGTGTGTAGCCCAAAAGCTTGTCTCTCTAACCAACAGAAGTTGATCCAAAAGATCCCTCTCACTCTCCTTGTCTCAGTGCATATATGAGATCGAAATTAACAGAGGTAGGCTCAGACACTGCTTTACCTGAATTTTAGTTTTCATTCAAAACTAGAGCATGTTGTATGAAGACATGGTGCTGCAAAGAAGTGTAGTAGGCCAATAATATATTTTCTACTTTATTTTAAAATAATTTTCTGCCTTTTAGGGCCATGGTTCCACTACTTTTTACTGTCCACAGGCAACAGTTACAACCATTTCTTATAATGTGTTGTCAGAAAAGGTTTCCTCCTGATGAATGGATGACTTCTAAAGCAATTCATCCGGGTGTAGAAAATACTCGAAAGCACAACTGGAGGCATGTGCCCCCCCCCAACACCTTCACACAGCACCTGATTTATCATGAAGTAGAATATTTTTAAAAAGTGAACATCTGACACTAGTATACTACATTTTACAGCTAGACTGTGTTATTCCCAGACATACCACTTAATTATGGCACCAGCGTGGCTCCTTACAACCTAGATAGCTATTGATCAGACTTAGATACATGAACACGGATAAGCTACACCAGAAAAAGCTCCATATAATTTATCTGCAGGAGGTTTCAGAACAGGAATAATGAATAATCTGAGATGTATGACTGTAGTCCAATACTAGCATGCACACAAGGTTTTTGTTTAAAAAGGGCACACACACAAGTACCTGGATCCACTGCTCTCTGTTGATTTCTACTCCATTTGCTCTGAGAGACGTGATAGCTCTGTCAATGATTTTCTCCACCATCTGAGTGTTTCCATTGGCTTCCTCCAGTTTGGCAGCAGTTATCCAAATGTGACGGTCTGTTGGGATGTTCTCACGGGCTTTATTTAAGACTTTACGAGCATTCTCGTATGTCTCCAGCCTTGCCAGAGCAAGCCACAGCTGGACAGCAACAACAAGGTATATATTAAAACAAGGGCATAGCAACACTTCAAACAGTCAACATGGGAGACACAAGGTTTTGCACCATACAGATACTCTGGTAGACTTCTCTCCTTTCCACACTATAGGCAGGCTGCAAGATGCCAATATACAAGTAGTAAAATAATCAGAATTTACCACTGGCCTTCAAAAATTCAATACCTCTTATTCCAAGAATGTGAATATGTTGTCTCTGTAAGACTTCAGCAATAAAATTTTCTGTTGTCAGCCGGATTTATAGCTCAATATATGGTTCAGTGTTTTTAAATTAATAAAACAGCAGCCTAAGATATCAAAGTAATGTGTGTGTGGGTACACAATAATAAATGCATGTGCAATTAGGTAACTGTTAAAGCAAATACACCTAACTGGCCATTTACGGGTACAATAATAATTTACATACACAATTACAGTAATAAGTACAAGACAAAATGAGGTGTAAACGCATGCTGAAAATCACCATCTGAGGAGTGCAAGTTAACCCAGAAAAATACTACCAGACCTGTCTTGCTGTCAGTTAAAATACTTGGCAAACCCCCACACTGCACTTTACAAGTACTGAAAAGTAAAGCTGACAATAAACATCAGCCACTTTCTATAGGAACATCCTTAACCCAAAGCAGAGAGAGATCTGTTGACTTACTTCCACGCTGGTTGGGCAGCATTCCACTGCTCGGCTCAGCATTATCCTAGCATCTTCGGGTTCTTCTAACTCCACTGCTGCCTTCCACAAGCGTACTGAATTTGGAACATGCTCAAGGGCTAGAAAGGTAAAACAGTACTATTAAACTTGGTATAGAAGGCTTTTAAAAGAAAAAAATGTTATACTGGCAATAATCACTACTGCAAACATAGCTATCCCCATTCTTTCATAATGAAGTACCTAGGGATGTAAAATTTCAATTAACTGGCTAACTGAATAGCCAATTCAATTTGCATCGACTATTCGATTAGTTGATAAGGGCGCCTCCATCTTTGAAGTACAGCAACAGCTGTTGCTACAATTCAAAGGTGAAAGCAAAGAGAGAAGCACGGGGCCTCATGCTCCCTGTGAGATTTCAAAGTGGCAGCACCGCATGGAGCCCGGGGTCAGCTGGGGACCCCGAGCTGCACATGGCATTTCAAGGCAGCAGATCTCGGGTTCCACGTGGTGCTGCTGCTTTGAAGCACCCCCTCCTCTTCTCCCCCTTCGCTGCCTCTTTGCGATAGAGGTAGCAAGGGAGAGAGGGGAGCGACTAGTCGACTAGTGTGTCGACTATCCGATAAGCATTTGCTTATCAGATAGTCGACTAGTTGTTTACATCCCTAGAAGTACTAGAAGGTCTTCTTGTTTCTCTTCAGCCAGTACAAGATGAACTGGTAGAAAATCTAACCTGAAATTCCACAACTGCAAAAGTTTTAACTGGTAACATCTGTATTAATTCTTTCAGAAACTGCTTTAATGGTTGTCAGAACACAAAAAATCAGGAAAGCAAGGAAGCTATAAAGCACTGTTTCCCCCAATTCAAGCTAAACAAAAATGATTTTCAGACAACTTTTGAACAAGTTAAAGGCTTTTCCACTTCATCTTAACTGTGCCCAGTTTGAGATTTTATATCTGTTAGATATTACAGGTCTAAGTAGGGTTCAGATCAGTTTTAGAACATTATGACAAATGTTTTATCTCCTTAGTACAGTCATTTTGTTAAAATGTAATAACAAAATGAAGCAAAATACAGGACTATGTAGCACTTTAAAGACTAACAAGATGGTTTATTAGATGATGAGCTTTCATGGGCCAGACCCACTTCCTCAGATCAGATTGATCATCTAATAAACCATCTTGTTAGTCTTTAAAGTGCTACATAGTCCTGTATTTTGCTTCATTTTGTTATTACATTTTTCACTCAAGTATAAAAACAAGTATATAGGGATTTGTCCTGACAAAGGCAAATATGACAGGGTGTTCTATGTGTTTACAATCTTCGGCTCTGCTGAAGTTGGATTAATACACGAGACATATATTGCTCTCATCCATCCAAACAAATCTGGTCCGCTCCAGCATGTAACCCAGAGCACCCTAAATCCTCTGTCCCTGCCACACAGACATCTTGGTGTGCAAGTATATGCAGTACACCCTGATATTGAAAATTCCTATGCAAGAGTCAAGTGCCTCAGACACCAGTTTAGATTTTATTCAAGAGCAAATTGGTTCACTAGTACATCATGCATTGGATACCATTGTAATTGTCAAAAATCTCCCTCAACAATTACTCTCTTTTAAGCATTTGCTGACTGTTTAATTGACACAGTTTAGCTTTCCCCAAAGCTATCAACCAACATGGTGGTTTTGGAAGAGCTTTGAAAAAAATGTTTCAGACCAACACTGAACAGATACAAGGCACTGAATTCCAAGTGCCTTTTCAGTAACATAATGATTCCATTTAACCAAGAACTTTTCATCTTGTTTTAAACTCGTCAAAACATTTTTTATCCTTGATAGAAACTTATTCCAGAATTTCCTGGATCTGCTGTGTGAAACATTAAACTTCAAACAAAAAACTTCTCTCAGCCTACCTTTGCAATTTAAAGTGTTACTGGGAACTTGAGAAAAACAAACAAACTTTCTTTTAAGTCTAATTACTATAAGCAACACCAAAAAATTACAAACAGAATATTTGTCTACTTTTCAGATGTTTATCAGCTGCACTTTGTGCACATTCAGTTCCACTGTTTTGTCAGGTTAGTTTTTCCCATGCTTATATGGCAATCTGTCAGAGCAACAGGAAAGAGAAACGTTTTTAAAAACAGGTGGTGTAAAATCACCAAAAAAATGGAAAGATAATTCCAAGGCAAGAATATCATCTGAAATTACTTTTAAACTTAGTTTTTGAAGTTGAGGTCTCAAATTAATCATGTTCCTTTAATTTTTCCAACCGAGACTGAGGGAAGACAAAGATTGTCATTCTGAGCTTCTTTCAGATTCAAAACCAGAAGGAAATACATATAGAAAAGTATCCTGATTGGGATGTAAATGTTTAACAGGTAAAGGCTGCCCCCGTAGGAAGAGGTTGCTCCGGTGTCAGGAGTAGCCACTGCCTGCAGGGGAGAGGGGTAGGGGACTGCTCCCTACAGCTCAGCTGAACTGGAGTGGCCCCCTTACCCCCTCCTCCCTTAACCAATTAAAACAGTATGTTTAACCAGTTAACCAATTAAATGGGATTTTACATCCTTAATTCCTGACTAGCTGGATGTTAATTATTCTCTTTCAAGTTTACAGTAGTGGGAGATTTTTTTAAAGCATTTTAAATGAGTAATGTCAGCCTTTGACAGCTTTAAGTGCTACTCGGCAGGAAAGAGCATGTCTTCATAGAGCATTAATTTCTACACCTCAAAATGAATTCAGGCACTCGGCTTGCTGCCTCACTGGGGAGGATAAAAGCATTAAAAGCTCTAAGTGCTTGCTGGGTGACAGGATCACACAACCCACAGAAATAAAAGAGAAACACATTATGGGATCATATTTAAGTGCTGCTACTTGGCACTTAGCCCTGATTATTTTCTGGTAAACACTAGTTAAAATTGCCAGTTTTCACATGATACCTGATCCAAACACCTCCAGCCATCAGTTTTGTGATGCTCCATAGGATGCAGTAGCCTAACGAACACCATGAAGTGGATAGCAACATGTGGAATTTAGAAGCACCATGGTAAACTCATACTCTTTTCTACCAATATAGATAGCTATAACCAAATTTTCCCCTCAGATAATACTCAGAAGTGAAAATAAAATGCTTTTTACAGAACATACAATATCGCTAATAATTTAAACAGAGGAGAAAAATAACTTGCATACTTAACATGTTCTAAATCATTGATGTAATCCAGCTCAAGTCAGATCCAGAAATCGATCATTTTCCCATGACTAACATCTGTTTTTCTATTTGATACTAATTGCAACTCTTATAGACACACACAAAGTTTAGCAGCAGCTGTGAATTCTTTTGCAGAATTTAATCCATAACTAAAAAGCCTCACACAAAATAATTAATATCTGAATTCTTGCAAGTTCCAGAACCACAACTGCAACCCTGAAATGCAAATCTTGTATTAAAATGTTGGAATAGGCAATTTACGCCTCTTGGTCCTAATTGCGGATGTAATCGTTCTAGATGCTATGCAGTCATGTAATACTGTGGATTGCTGCATATAAAAGATCTAGCAAAGACTTTAAAAGCTTTTTCTCCTTGGATACCTAGAAACTGCAGTAAAGACTTTAAATGCTAGAATTCTGCAGCTTGACAAGGAGGCAGCAACTGAAATGGGACTGGAGCATCGACTTCAAGCAGTCAAAAAATTGATGCTATGGTGCCATGGACAAGACCTCTAATTTCAGCACATCAGGATGGATCAGTCATGAGAGAGAAGTGCCAACCATACTGATACTGTGTGCTAGTTAATGAACAGGTATTATATGAGTTTGAGGAAGGCAATACATTTCAGATGGATGAGCCAAAGAAAGAGCTGCGATGGCAACAGCATAAAAAAATGCAAGCATTTGAATAAATGTAGAAAAAAAAGTGCGTCACAGAAACACAGGAATTTCTATACTGGAGAGACTCAAGGTCTGTCCAATCCAATCTCTGGATCCTCTGACCAGATGCTTCAGAGAAAAGTACATGATCTCACCCCCTGTAAGTCTGTAATAGTTAGAGACTGACTTAAGTCCTGAATCTCAAGATTTAATACCACTTCCACAATTTTTGTTGTCAAAACTATAACTGTATACTCAATCCCATTTTGAATCCTGTTAAGTTTGTAGCCTGAATTTCCCATAGCAATGAGTTCCACAGTTTAACAACACATTGCATGAAAGAATATGTTCTTGGTGATGCCAAGAATCACATTTAAATCCCCAGGCCATGCCCTAAAGCGTTTGTGTTTTATTAATTTTTAGAAGAACACTTACAGGAAATTGAAGGATTAGTTCTCGTATTCCTGTAGAACAGAAGTGGGGAACTTAAGGCCCACGGGCCGTATGTGGCCCCTCACTTGCCTGGATCTGCTCCCCAAGACACAGGGCTTCCCCCCCAAACACTGGGGAGCTTACACTGGCATTCTAGCCTCCTTGACATCCCCCCATGGGGGTGGAGCACACAATCTACTAGCCCGGGACCCCCTAAGCTCTGGTGTGTGAGGGGAACGTGAAGAGTGTCTTTCTCCTTCTCAGTCAGGGGCATCTGTGAGGGTTCGGTTTTTTGTTTTTGTTTTTTGCTTTGCTTCTTCCTTATGTGCGGCCCCTGCCTGATTTTTTCTGTGGATCAGTGGCCCCCAACCCCAAAAAGTTTCCCCACCCTTGCCGTAGAAAGTCTCACCTTTCCTAAGGACACGTTTCTTTGCTCGTATATCAGTCTCCAGTTCTGCTGCTCTGATATAAATCCGGACAGACTGTGGGAGGTGGCGGACTGCCTGGGCCACCACAGCCTTTGCCGTATCCCCAGGCTGCAGACGGGCAGCTTCTAACCAAACATCTTCACTCTGTTGGTGAGCAAATAGAAAATGTATACCCTCTCCATCAGAGCAAACACTGGAGAACTTGTTGGTAAACACTCTGTCAGCCGCTCTGATAAGTTACAAGAGAGATATTAACCAATATTGAGAAGCTTAATGGAGGAAACTGTGCTTTTAATACAAGAACTCATCACACATTCTTCATATTTTTTGCAATAAGCAGCAGAGGTGCAAAACAACTCTCACCTTGGGGCACATTTCTGTTCCCTTCATGATGAGGTTTCGAGCTACTTGCAGTTTGCCTGTGACCTCTTCCAGTCGGGCTGAAGCTATCCAAGCTGGTGGATGATGAGGATTGGTCTCCCGTACAGATTTCAAAAGTAAACGAGCTTTCTTGATGTCACTGGTAAAGAAGAAAAAAAAGCCAAAGCTTTTAATAAGCTAAGGAACACCTCTCATTCACTAGTAAGCTCCCCACACTCAGTTCCTCGCAATCAAACTCAGATGCACATTAACTTGGACCTCACATTTTTACACAGAGATAACACAAATCTCTGTGGAGAATATATTTCAATGTAACTGAGGTCAAAGTGAAGATTGCATATCTAATAGGGCTATCAAGCTATTAAAAATTAATTGCTATTAATCACATGATTAATTGCACTGTTAAACAGAACACCATTTATTTAAATATTTTCCACATTTTCAACTTTTTCAAATATATTGATTTCAATTACAACACAGAATACAAAGTGTACAGTGCTCAGTTTATAATTATTGTTGATCATAAATATTTGCACTGCAAAAATATTTTTCAGTTCACCGTATACAAGTATGGTAATGCAATCTCTATCATGAAAGTTGAACTTAAAAGTGTAGAATTATGTGCAAAAATAGCTGCATTCCAATATAAAACAACATAGACTTTAGTGCCTACAAATCCACTCAGTCCTACTTCTTGTTTAGCCGATCACTCTGATAAACAAGTTTGTTTACATTTACGAGAAATAATGCTGCCCATTTATTTACAGTGTCAACTGACAGTGAAAACAGGCATTCACGTAGCATTTTTGTAGCTGGCATTGAAAGGTATTTACATCACAAATTGGTCTGCCCCTCCATGCTTCAGCCACCATTCCAGAGGACATTTCCATGCTGATGAGGTTTGTTAAAAAAAACAAATCTGCATTAGTAAATTACACTTTCATGATAAAGAGATTGCACTACAACACTTGTATGGTGTGAGCTGAAAAATAGTTTGTTTCATTTTCAGAGTGCAAATATCTGTGATTAAAAAAAATATAAAATGAGCATTGTACACTTTGTGGTAACTGAAATCAATGTATTTGAAAATGTAGAAAAACACCCAAAATATTTAATACGTTTCAATTGGTATTCTATTGTTCAGCAGTGGGAGTAAAACTGATTAATCATGATTAATATTTCCCAATATGATGAATGTTTTGAGTTAATCAGGATTAATTGACAGCCATAGCTTTTAAGTAAGGTTTTGAGGAATTGCACATGTGCACTAAATTTTGTTGCATGCTGGAAGCAAAAGCTTGTTGTGGACTTGACAGGTGTGTAAGCATTTTTGGCTACACAGGTTGGATCTCCCTGGTCCACCACAGTTGGGACTAGACTCGTCCCAAACAACAATTTGCCAGATCTGGGGAGGTGTCCCCTGCTATGGGCCCCAAGCCAGCAGGCCCCCTGCCTCTGGCCTCCTCTAGCCTCCTGCCTGTTCTGCTGCCTTTGGCGGCCGAGGTTCTCCGGCCCTGGCCTGCGTTGCTGCGTGCAGCCAGATTTCCCCAGCCCTGCGCTGCTGTGGGCCGCTACACTCTCCAGCCGCCAACCCCGCACTGCCGCTGGCTATCGCGGTTCTTTGGCTCTGCGCCACTGCAGGCTGCCACGGGCAGCTGGGCTTCTCCAGCCCTGAACGCTACACTGCCACGGGCACCGAGGCTTCTACGGCCACGGGTGCCTGGAGTTCCCTGGCCTCTAGCTCCACGTTGCAGTGGGCTGCCGGGGTTCTCCAGTCCCTGGCCCCAGCACTGCTGTGGGACTCTGCTGGCCCTGGCCCCAGTCAGGCTGTTGGCCTCTTACCATGCAGCTCTGGGGCTCTCTGGTTCAGGAGCATCTGTTGCCAGACCAGAGAGTACCAGTTTTCAGAGATACAACCTGTATTAAGGCTTAGGATATTAAAAGGCAAAGGAGCAGAGATTCTTGCACATGTAAATTTTGGGTTTCACCTGACAACTTCCTGGATTTTTAGTGCTGATGCTGAGAAAATGGACTTACACTTCCTTAATTGCAAGTATTCTTTGTATATGACTAAATACGGATGTCAAAGGATTGGGCTACAGATATTTTCACACAACCACCAGTCAAATCGAGGTCGGCACTGACTAACAGTGGTCACTGATCAGCAGTGTGGGCAAAATGTACTGGATTATTTCCTAGGAAATAGGTAACTGCACCACAAAGCTACCAGAGCATCTGGCCTGCTTATTGGTGGTCTACACAAGAACCAGCTGTGTGTTTAGACTGTACTCCTTTGAGCATAGAGGCAGCTCACCCTGACCAGAATCTCGGTATGTTGGTGAGGAGAAATTGCAATACCTAGCCTGTGGTACATAAGTCCCCAACGCTATCAATGGAGCAACTTTTACAAACACAACATATTAATGAGGAGTAAACAGGAGTTGACAACGGTCAACTAGAAGTCATTTTGGCCAAATACATTAGAAATAAACATCCATTTATATGCAGAAGGGTCAACCACTTCTACCTGCCAAACCAATTCACCCCAAACTAGACTTACTTGATATCTCCTCCATGTGTAGGTATCATAGAATTCAAGTCCGTCAGATATCCCTTTGGGTCCACCACAGTTTGGCCACTCACAGAATCGGACACCTGGGAACGTAAATCCAAAGCTGATGAAATTGTTGGCCAGAGAATGACTATTTTGGCCCAATGAAAAATACATTAATAGTGAAAACACACAAAAACTGTTCTCTCTCAGTTTACATGATCATCTGGCATAAAAACCATGGAGTAAACTGGAAAACTTTGCTTATACTCGTGGTTTTTTTGTTGTTCTATAACAATTGACAGCTTTATTTTGCAGAGAATTATTCCTACGTAATATATTGCAAAACAATTTACACAATTAAGACATATCAGAGTTAAAGCAAACAGAGAGGGGGATTAAAAGGTTTAATAAAAAGAGAAAAATGTTTGCATAAGATTAGAAATTAAAGGGAAATTAACTGAGGTAAAGATCCAGAAAGGGTATTCTAAATGGCAGCTGCAGAGGAGACAGCTTTTGTATCAATACTAGTAACTATGTAAAGAAACAGAGAGGAAAGGACTGAATAGAGGGGGAAAAAAAATCTGTGATGCAGGATGGAGTCTGTCCATTGAGGATGCTTTTTATCTTGATTCTATTACAATCAGAAAATAGGTACTGAAACGAAAGTGATGCAAGCAAACTGCTCTACATGAGAGAAAGCAAGAAGAAACAGTCACACACGTGTAACTATGACAGACTGAATTTCCAGATTACCACTGACCTATAATCTTGAAATCGTGTGCACTTTATACGAAATGCCAGATACAAAACAATATTTACATTTAATATTTTAACCCTTGATCACCAAAAGTTTAATGATGTACATTTACCAAAAAAAAAAAAACAAAACCCAACAACCCACCCACACATTAATTTCTTCAGTCAGCTGATCACATTAGGTATTAAGACAGGGGTGGGCAATAATTTTTCATCTGGTCACTCCAAGATTTTGGAAAGTGGTGAAGAGTCTCACCCTTCCATGATATTAATGGAGATGGTGTGGGGTCTAAGATGGAGGTTGGGTGCAGAAGGGAAAGTGGGGTCTGGGAGGGAGTTTGGTTGAAGGAGAGAGTTGTGACCTAGAGCAGGGGGACTGAGGAGCAGGGTTCTGGAATGTGACCTAGGGGAGGAGGGGGTTGTGATCTGGGGCAGGGGACTGAGGTGCTAGATATGGGAGGGGGTATGGGTGCAGGAGGGAGGGCAGAGGGCTTGGGTATGTTGAGTGCGTGTGAGGGGCAAAGGGTTGGCAAAGAGGGGCTGGGGTATCAGAGGCAGGTTCTGGCCAGGATACTTACCAGCTAGCAGCCCAACCAACCTGACTGCCTGCAGAGTAAAATGCTTGCAGAACTTACAAAGTTTCTTAGCTAGCCAGCCTGCCCCATGCCTGCACAGCCATGTGCTTGTGTGAATAACTGAACCAGAGGGGAAGTGGAAGTGGTGCTTCCTGTTATTCAAACAGGCAGCTCCCCAATGGCCAGTTTCTGGCCAGAAGCTGGCTAATGGGATTATGCTGGGGGCAGGAGCAGTGCCTGAAGCCTTCCCCCACTCACCTCTGGGCTCACGGTTTTTAGAGAGAAATGACCCCACAGCCACTTTTCTGGGCAGTGTGCAGGACTGAGGGGCAAGCAGGGGAGTCTGCCTAGGGCTCCCTGCTGTATCCGCGGGCCATATCCAGTGGCTTGGCGGACTGTATCCATCCCATGGGTTGTATTAAGACCTTGTAGCCTGCCAAGCTTTATCTGTCCTTGCCTATCCTTTTTTTTTTCCTTGATATATTTTGATAGCATGCTAGTAATGCAAGGAGCCTACAGAATTAAATTTTCTGTATGATTGCTTCAGCAAAAATACGATAGTTAATGATAAGTTAAGATTTATTTCTTGTTATGTTTCAAGATATGTATTAGGTAAGAGCTTTTACAGTTGGCTTGACAGGCCATTATTTAATTCTGATCAGAACCAGCAAGCCGAATCCACCAACTGATTTTTCTTACTTCCGCAAAGGCTGATGCACCATATTTCCGGAACCTAACCGCAGGTTCCCGCTCTTTCTGGCTGTTCTAGGATTGGGCCCAAGAAAATGTCACTTCTCTCTCATACATATGTATGGGCTACCCCCATATCTCTTCCAATCAGGTATAGGCACCCACAGAAATCTTAGGGTACCAAGCCCAACTTTAGGCAAGGGGTTGAACATCCAGGACATTTTGGTGCCATAAGAGCAATATCATCCCAGGAATTGGGGAAGCGGGGGCTGCTATATCCGTCGCTGACAGAGCCTGCTCCAGAGTGTTACTTGTTTTCTCTTAAAGTCAGAAACAAAATACTTATCTCTATTCTATTTTCATATCTCTATCATGTTTCTTATATTTTAAGTCTTGCTTTCAGGAATTTCATACTACACCTACTCCAAGACCTTTCAGGTGAGGGGAGACTGGTCCTTCCACGCCCAGCCTTGGGGAAAATAAGATCCTGTGGGTATGAAATGCTGTTAGATCATTAGTATCTGTGTACTTAGGTAAGTTTTAGTTTGATTTTGTTACTGCCATCTGGGGAAGAAATCCAATTAATGTGTGTTCTTACTGCCATATTCTGTGTGTTTCTTGAAATTGTTATTCCCATGGCAATAAAACTGATTTCATTGCATTTCCTGATTTAAAGTATAACTGTCAATTGTCTGCGGACCCTTACAAGGGGGAATCTTATGGTTCTACCCACTTGTAACCTGGGATAGAGAGGACGAACTTAGACTCCCTGATCAGACTGATGAGTCTTACCCATCTAAATTCCTCTATATCTCCTTCCCAGGCTACAACCTCCAGTTTCGAGACGTTAAGGGCATCTAACATCACCTGTCCTCCTGGATGGATTTCAGCCAAGAGAATTGTCAGAGGCACAAGAAATTGCTGCAGGCACCAATACTGATAGTCACCCTAGCCATGAACAGTAATCTGTTATTACATTCACTGTTTAGTTTTATATTTTGAAAAGTTGACAAATAGCTAAGAACTGTTGACTTTGCAAAATATGGCACTGGTACCAGCGTGCGATTAAAGATAACATGAGGCTGGCTTGCTTAAGGAAAGGCCTGAAAGAATAAGCTCAGGAATGTAGCTGATGAGTAAAATAACAATATTTCATTTTACTAGGGAGAAGGGACAACTAAAGAGAAAAAAAGTTTTTGTAATATTGTCTATAGAAACATCCCCATGAGTATGTCACTAGTGGGCATTTGCTTTTATTGTAACTATTCATTCAACATTCTACGACCATGTAAAAACACCAAGTTATTCAACGTGCTCTATGTATTTAATCATAGATGATGTTAATGATATGGTGCATTTTACATCTGTGACAGCACTATGTATCTAACATCTGGAAAAGGAAGACAGAGTCTGTTCTGTCACTTGCATCAACAGGACTGTTAGTGAAGTTCCAAACATATGTCCAAGTTTTGCCTCTAGTTATATTGTGCAATCCCTCTCAGATAACAGGTTGGACAAGCAGAAGAGGGTGCAATTTAGCCTAATAAATCTTTACTGTTTGCAAATATACAACAGAGTCAAAAGCCATACAACTTGACTTTCAGATCCCAAGGGGAAAGTGTAGTGCCATGGCTTAGAAAAGTCATCTTTTCACATCTAACCCCAGAGCAAATTTGCTCTTGAAATATCTGAAACAAATATAAAAAGTCTCAAGAGAGAAAGCCATGTTGATCTATAACTTTAAAAACGAGCAGTCCTGTGGCACCTCATGAACTTTCATCATTATCTAATATATTTGTTAGTCTCTAGATGCAAAAGGACTACTTGTTATTTTGAAACAAATATAGAACTCTAGAATACCATTTCAGAAAAAGCGCTGTGTACTTAATGGCTCACTAATCAAGATAAGAGCAACAACCACCACATCAAACTACAAAATGACTCCGTAGGCCTGACATCCATTTCTGCCATGACTGGCAAGCTCAACTTCTCTGTGATGGTCCAGCATACACTGACCCATCTCCAAGAGAATTCCTCTAGAACAGATCTAGAGTTGAAGGTTCCAGCACATTCTTTTAATTATTATTGCCCTGCTTTTCATTTGTTTTTCATTATTTAAGATCCCAAAGAGAACATAACAATAGTTTTCCAAAACTTTACAAAACAGGTATACATAGATACACCTTTCAGGGTTATTATGCTCCTGTGTCCTTACCTGGCTCAGTCTCATATCCATCAAGGTATTCCTGGCTTGCCCAATCTTCCTCATATCTAGTTCACCTGTCCCAGGTGTCATTAGCCCAGGTGTCATTCCTCCTGGATAAGGAGTGTTCAAACCTCCTGGATATGGAGTGTTCAGACCACCAAATTGCTGCCAAAAAAATGACACACGAAGTTTTATTCTGTGATTTTTAATATAACTGAAGGGAGTTAGGAGCTCAGCTCCTAGGAGTGTCAATAGGGGCTAGATATTTAACTCCCGTCTAGGGCTTTGAAAATATGACAACACTGCCAGTACAAGTTGAACAACTGCTTCCTGAGTACGAATAGCGGTTCTTCTATTGGGAGTAGACGGTCTATAGGAAATTATTCAAATGGTACTATTCAATAAATAGTATGATCACTTTGTTTCATTAAGAAGTGTCAAACGATTATCATGTCAATATTAACTGAAAAATATTACATATAAATTATATAAGCATGTGGTGTCAATTTAAGTCCAATAAGCTTCTCTCCTATCAGCCAATCACAGTGCTCTGCATCCATTTAAACAATTATGATCCAAAAATGTCAACCAATGACTTCATTGTCAACTAGGAATGTAAATGGTTAACTGGTAAGCCTCACCCTTAATAGGTGAGGCTTTCTGGTTGTGGTTAACCAGTAGGGACTAGACCAGATCCCCACCTGCCCCAGGCAGAGGGCTGCTCCAGCCCCGTGGGGTCCACCACAGGTAGGGGCTGCTCTGGGTGCACAATCTGAGCAGCCGCTGTCCATGGCGGATCCCCCCCAGCCTCCCTGCCGCAAGTTATATGCTGACTCCCTGGGAGCAGGGCTAACAGAGGTTGCCAGCCCTGCTCCCAGGGAGCTGGCTGCAGAGTCCACAGCGAAGCTTCCACCCTGGGAGCGGGGCCAGCAGCCTATTTAAGCTTTATACTGCAGAACCCACAACGCGTATAACTGCTACGATTTTTAGCGGTTACATGATTACATTTAAGAGCCTTTTTACATCCTTACTGTGAACTGAAAGGGTACGTCTAGATTGCACTCTAAAATCGAAATAAGATATGCAATTTGCGCTACGCAAATTGCATATCTTATTTTGATTTTATTTTTAAACAGACTATTTCGAAATTTGGCACATTTACACGGCACTAAATTTTGAAATAAAGCACTATTTCAATACATCCCTTATTCCTGGTGGAATGTGGTTTATAGGGATGCCAAAATAGTGTGTCTTATTTCGAAAATAACAGCTTAGACATACCCAAAGTGAAATGTCTTAATTCTAGAAGAAACATCAGCCACTAGGGGAAGTTAGATTCCACTTCACATTACAAATTTAGAAAAGCATCAGCCAATAAGAAATTCAATGTTGGTTCATTGACCAAAATGAATTATGGCCATCCCTTGCCCAAACTGAGCTAAAACAAAAGGAATTTTAGAATCTTCCATTGCTAAAACAAAAGGCTATCCGATTATTTTTGCTCAAATTCTGCTCTCAGCTCCAGAGTTCGCTGAATGAAACAAAAGTTCCCAATAAGCCAGGGACTAACACACAGCAACCTCTTCTAAAGGCTCTTGTTCTAGAGGTCTTTCCATTTGCTATTCATTTAAGAAAGGGTTATATGCCTAGTGCCTTTGACTTTATTTTAATTTGACTTTATTTTAAATGGAATTACAGGATGTGTTCTAGGCTAAGAATAAGGTGTATTTCACAGCAAGTACTTGACTCTAGCTATTGTTGATCATTTTCTCCAATTTACCATGCGTGAAGTGGTAACTTCTCTATGTTGTTTTCATGCTTACCGTTTGTCGGGGATCCACAGATGTATGATTCTCCCCAGTCTGCAAGTGTTTAGCAAAGAAACTATCAGGAACAGGAGTCAGTTTTTCATAACGTGGATTCCTCTGACGTTTGTTCCTGGCATCACCAACTTCTGGAATACTCAGCCACTCTTCCTCTGTGACTTCCGCTAGCTTCCTCTGCATAAACAAAAGGTGTCATTACTGAAGATTGTGTTTTTAAAATTTACAATTTTTCTATTGTTTAGTGGTCTATCAATCTGTGGGTTTCAGAGAAGTCAGGGTCAGATGGGTCACATTTTGAAATAAAAGGTCAACGCTAAAGAACTTGTATACTTTTAAGAGGAGCCCTTTCTGTACAGACTGGGATCTTGACGTGATATTTTTATACTTATACCAATTAACAAGGCAATTATTTTTAAATGTTAATAAGGTATTGTAAATGTGTGTTTTCATTTAACTACTGTCCATTTTGCGTGTTAAAAAGAGAGACAGGACCCACACGGAAATTAAACACTATACCCCCATTGAGATACTTGGGACAGATTATAGAAAAGCTGAAAGTCAGGACTACCATCTTTCTCCTTCCACATCAGTACATGCCAATCACGGTACTTTTTTTTGAAAGCAGAATTGCAACATAGCTTCTCAACTGGGTGACCAGATCAATCAACTCAGAGTGCCAGGCTTGTTAACACTTGGGAACCCAAAAAGATCAGATACCAAGTTTTGTGTATAGTTTAATACCCTAATATGTCCACCTGGGGGAGAGGAAGGAATGGCAATCACCACATACACTTGCAACTAAAAGGCTGATAAGTATTTAATTCTACAAGAGCGCACACACAAACTACTGATAATACAGATTTATTTAGTATTCTGGCATATTCCGCCAGGAATTTGGTTTAAATTGACACATTCTCAGATAGATAATTCTATAGAATAGGAACTGTGCAAACAAATCCTGAAAGTCACATCAATCTGTTCACCTTTAAAATGGACTATTTTCTTCATATCAAAATGTAAGACAGTTATCTCCTTACTTTTAAATCTGAAAATTGCTGCTGAATTTTGGGACGTTCCATTCGGTACTTTTCAATCTCCTCTTTCTCCCGTTGTTCTCTACAAAATAAAAAATACTGAAGCCATGCTCACAGAAGCATCAAGCAGGATGTAAACCAAGTACCATTATTATAGAGGAACTGAGGAAATCTGTTTAGTCAGAGCTCTTAAGGCATAAGTCTGCATCAAATTGAAGTTATATCTCTATTTACAGATGAATATTAAATACCTAGTCAAAGAAGGCACATTTCAGGGGTCTCAAGCAATAATACTATAGAAAAAAATTGAACTTTGCATCCAGGTATAGTCTTAATCCCAGCTCCCTTGAGAGCTGATAAAATACTCTGGTTTTAGCAACATTTATTAATACCGGTTGGCAGAGCTGCATGCTACCCGGCACGTCTCCAAGTGGCGGATAGGAGGGGGCCTCTTTTCAGAGGTTTGCTGCAAAATAAGTGCGCTTTGTCATGCGAATATGCAGCCACGGACCAGCAGCGGCAACATTACCAGGGTGTGATGGGACATTGGGTGGTATCCGATGCACTGACTAAAAGCCACAAGTGCACAATGACAATATTATGACATGGCGACTGCTACCCTACCCCCTCACTCTGTTGGTTGAGAGTCTGGGATACTTGGGTCCCTGGTTTACTTTGGATAATCTGATTGGCGAATCAACCATGATTGGTCACCGGCATCCAAGGGATAGTGACTTCTTACGTCAACCCAGGGAAGAGAATCCTGACAGAAAATTCCCCACTGCCTTGTGGGTAGGTTCGGGAGATGCGAAGGCTATGGGAGTAAACCCAGACAGATAATCCAGAGTGGAGACCCTAAGGCGGTTAACAGTGAGGTTTCATCCAATCTGTTTTTCCAGCATCTCCTGCAGTCACCTCAGTTCCTAAAGTACTGGCTTTTGTCTTTCCTTTGGCTCTAACTGGAGCAACCGAAAGGGGGATAGTGCCGCTTGGGCAACGCACTTTCCTCAAACACTAGCCTAGGCAATGCAGCACACAGGAGAAACACTTAGCCACACACAGCTACTACAGTTGATACAAAAGGCCAACTTGCCTCCGGCTTGGTAGCTGGAATGTGCGGACAATGTGTCCTTGACTTGAACCTGATCATGATCTTACAAACACGGATTCAATACGTAAAACAGCAGTTATAGACCAAGTTACATAAACTGAATGTTGACATTGATGCTCTCCAGGAGACCAGACTGGCAGATGTTGGATTAGTAAAAGAAACCAACTACACCTTCTTCTGGAAGGATTTGAGTTCAGAGAAACGCCGTCTTTACGGAGTTGGCTTTGCTGTTCGAAACAATCTGATGAACTTTATCAATACACCTATAGCTGAATCAGAACGCGTTATATGTTGGGAAACTAACACAGCGGGGCACAGGCTATCCAATAAGTTTCTGGACTGCATTGGAGACAACTTTCTGTTTCAGAAGGTTGAAAAAGCTACCAGAGGAGAAGCTGTTCTGGATTTGGTTTTAACAAATAGGGAGGAACTAGTTGAGAACTTGAAAGTGGAAGACAGTATAGGGGACAGTGATCATGAAATAATAGAGTTCATGATCTTAAGGAAAGGTAGAAGGGAGACCAGCACAATTGAGGTAATGGATTTCAGGAAGGCAGATTTTGATAAGCTCAGAGAACTTGTAGGTAAGGTCCCATGGGAAGCAAGACTGAAGGGAAAAACAACTGAGGAGAGTTGGAAGTATTTCAAAGGGACATTGTTAAGGGCCCAAAAGCAAACCATTCCGCTGTGTAGGAAAGATAGAAAATATGGCAAAAGACCAGCTTAGCTTAACAAGGAGATCTTGCATGATCTCAAAATAAAAAAGGAGTCATATAAAAAATGGAAACTAGGACAAATAACAAAGGATGAATATAGGCAAGCAACACAGGAATGCAGGGGCAAGATTAGAAAGGCAAAGGCACAAAATGAGATCAAACTAGCTACAGGCATAAAGGGAAACAAGAAGACCTTTTATAAATACATTAGAAGCAAGAGGAAGACCAAGGACAGGGTAGGCCCACTGGTTAGTGAGGAGGGAGAAGCAGTAACAGGAAGCTTGGAAATGGAGGAGATGCTCAATGACTTCTTTGTTTCGGTCTTCACCGAGAAGTCTGGAGGTGTGCCTAACGTAGTGAATACAAGCAGAGAGAGGGTAAGTTTAGAAGATAGGATACACAAAGAACAAGTTAAAAATCACTTAGGAAAGTTAGATGTCAGCAAGTCACCTCCTCTATCAGCTCCTTGAGTATCCTGGGATGCATTTCATCAGGACCTGGTATCTGAGCCTTTAGCTATGATCTTTGAAAAATCATGGCAGACAGGGGAGATTCCAGAAGACTGGAAAAGGGCAAATATTGTGCCCATCTATAAAAGGGGGAATTAGAACAACCCAGGAAACTACAGACCGGTCAGTTTAACGTCTGTCCCAGGGAAGATAATGGAGCAGGTAATTAAGGAAATCATATGCAAACACTTGGAAGGTAATAAAGTGATAGGGAATAGCCAGCATGGGTTTGTGAAGAACAAGTCACGCCAAACTAATCTGATAGCTTTCTTTGATAGGATAACGAGCCTTGTGGATAAGGGAGAAGCGGTGGATGTCATATGCCTAGACTTTAGTAAGGCATTTGATACGGTCTCGCATGATATTCTTATTGATAAACTAGGCAAATATAACTTAGAAAGGGCCACGATAAGGTGGGTGCATAATTGGCTGGATAACCGTAGTCAGAGAGTTGTTGTTAACGGTGCTAAATCCTGCTGGAAAGGGATAACAAGTGGAGTTCCGCAAGGGTCTGTTTTGGGACCCGTACTATTCAATATCTTCATCAATGATGTAGATATTGGGATAGAGAGTACGCTTATTAAGTTTGCAGATGATACCAAACTAGGTGGGGTTGCAACTTCTTTGGAGGATAGGGACATAATTCAAAATGACCTTAGCAAGTTAGAGAAATGGTCAGAGGTAAACAGGATGAGGTTTAATAAAGAGAAATGCAAAGTGCTCCACTTAGGAAGGAACAATCAGTTCCATACATACAAGATGGGAAGCGACTGTCTAGGAAGGAACATGGCGGAAAGGGATCTAGGGGTCATAGTGGACCACAAGTTAAATATGAGTCAACAGTGTGATGCTGTTGCAAAAAAAGCAAATATGATTCTAGGTTGTATCAACAGGTGTGTTGTAAGCAAAACTTGTGAAGTCATTCTGCCGCTCTACTCTGCACTAGTTAGGCCTCAGCTGGAGTACTGTGTCCAGTTCTGGGCGCCACATTTCAAGAAAGATGTGGAGAAATTGGAAAGGGTACAGAGAAGAGCGACAAGAATGATTAAAGGTTTAGAGAACATGACCTATGAAACCAGGCTTCATGAACTGGGCTTGTTTAGTTTGGAAAAAAGAAGATTAAGGGGGGCCATGATAGCGGTTTTCAAATATCTAAAAGGGTGTCACAAGGAGGAAGGAGAAAATTTGTTCCTTTTGGTTTCTGAGGACAGGACAAGGAGTAATGGGCTTAAAGTGCAGCAGGGGAGGTTTAGATTGGACATTAGGAAAAAATTCCTAACTGTCAGGGTGGTCAAATATTGGAATAAATTGCCAAGGGAGGCGGTGGAATCTCCCTCTCTGGAGATATTTAAGAACAGGTTAGATAGACATCTGTCAGGGATGGTGTAGACGGAGCTTGGTCCTGCCTTGAGGGCGGGGGGCTGGACTCGATGACCTCTCAAGGTCCCTTCCAGTCCTATTATTCTATGATTCTATATCCCTATAGCTCAGCACCAACTCAGGATACGTTAACATCATAAGTACTTATGCACCCACACTAATGTCATGCACTGAAGACAAGCACTACTTCTATGGTAATCTTCAGAAAGTTGTCATTTCTTGTTCGTCCGGTGAACAACTGTACATCCTTGGTGATTTTAATGCAAGAGTGGGAAGCGATCACCAGTCCTGGCCCACTTGCCTAGGTCATCACGGCATTGGGAAAATGAATGAAAACGGTCAAAGGCTTCTTGAATTCAGTTCTCAGAATCATCTCTCCATCACTAATACTTTTTTCAACTTAAAAGACTGTGAAAAGGTCTCATGGCACCACCCCAGATCCAGTCACTGGCATCAACTCGAACTTGTACTGGTCCACAGAAGACACCTCCACTCCATTAAATTTACATGTGAATATCACAGTGCAGATTGTGACACTGATCACTCATTGATTATCAGTAGAGTGAAAATTGCTCCAAAGAAACTCCATACATCAAAGGTTTGCAGAAAACCAAAGGTTAACACTCTCAATACTAGAGATGCACTAAAATGCTCTTTGTGGAAGAATTCACTCGCAAAATGGAAGACAAACCTGTCCAGCAGTCTGTTGACAAGACATGGTCCATGCTGAGTGTTACAATATATGAATGTACCACATCTGCCTTTGGAACACAGAAATTTTCCAACAAAGACTGGATTGATGAAAACGTTGACATTCTCAGGCCCCTTCTTGAAGAAAAAAAACAAGGCTTTTCTGAATAAGACCTCTTCTTGAAGAAAAAAACAAGGCTTTTCTGAATAACATAAAGAATCCATCACAAAGTTCAAGAGATCAACTTTGCCATACAAGATCTGTTCTTCAGAGAGAATCCAGGCGGTTCAAATAAGTATTGGGCCGATCTGTGTTCTGGAATTCAAAAAGCATTCCATATGGGCGAAAACCATGTATGATGGACTGAAGAAAGCACTTGGACCAAATGTTACCAAAGTTGCTCCATTGAAACATCTAAATGGACAGGTGATTATAGATAAAAACCAAGAGATGTTCCGATGGGTGGAACACTATGCAAGTCTTTACTCCCATGAGCGTACAATACATCCTGAACTTGATAACCACATTCCAACTCTTTCAGAAATGTTAGAGCTAGATGTAGAGGCTACAGTGGAAGAGCTTTCCCAAGTACTTGATGCTTTCTCCAGTGGAAAAGCACCAGATAACAATGGGATTCCAGCTGAAGTCCCGAAGGCTAACAAGGCTGTCCTCATCCCCTTCCTCTATGACTTACTTATAAAATGTTGGTGAGCGGGAGTGGTCCCTCATGATATGAGGGATGCAAACATCATTACTCTCCATAAAAACAAAGGTGATAAGGGGGACTGTAACAACTACAGAGGCATCTCTTTGCTAAGCATTACAGGTAAAGCATTTGCCCGTGTCATTTTTAATTGCTTGCAAAAACTCGCAGATCGAGTCTATCTAGAAACACAGTGTGGCTTCAGGGCTGGCAGGTCAACAATGGACATGATTTTTTCTCTTCGACAACTACAAGAAAAATGCAGAGAGCAAGAAAAGCCACTGTTTATAGCATGTGTGGACTTAGCAAAGGCATTCGATACAGTCAGTAGATCAGGATTATACAAAGTGTTAACTAAGATTGGCTGTCCACCAACTCTACTCAAGCTCATAATATCTTTTCATGAAGATACGAAAGCAACAGTGTACTATGATGGATCTACATCTGAACCCTTTGTGGTGAAGAGTGGAGTCAAACAGGGATGTGTCCTTGCTCCTACCCTCTTTGGTATATTCTTCTCAGTCCTATTAAATTGTGCATTTTTAAACTCACACACTCACTCCTATTTGCAGATGATGCAGCGCTTCTTGCACATAATGAAGACATGCCACAGGCACTGATGGATTCTCTGTACAGAGTTAGTAAACTATTTTCTCTCAACGTAAGCGTGAAGAAAACTGTTGTGTTTGCTCAAGGTGTATCTCAACCACTCAAGGTCATTTTGAATGACAGTCCATTAGAGGTGGTTCAATAATTCTGTTACCTTGGGTCTACTATCTAAATCTCTCCATGGACAAAGAACTGAACATCAGAATTGGAAAGGCAGCCATAACATTTGGCAGACTTACGAAACGAGCATGGAACAATCCCAAACTGACACTGAAAACAAAGATACTGATATACCAAGCATGCATATTAAGTGTCTTGCTTTATGGATCTGAGACCTGGACTACCTACTCATGCTAAGAGAAAAAATTGAACCAGTTCCCACCTTTGCTGCCTTCACAGAATCATGAATATGAAGTGGCAAGACAAAGTTTCAAATGTAGATGTCCTATCAAGAGCTGGTATACCCAGTCTCATAGCGATCCTTAACAACAGAGGACTCTGGTTGTTTGGCCATGTGAGAAGAATGAGTGATAAACATCTTCCCAAAGAAATCCTCTTTGGTGAACTAACAAGTGGAGCAAGGGCAAGAGGAAGGCAAGACTCAAGGATATATGTAAAAACACCATGAAAAGGTTTAACATAAATCCAGTCTCTTGGGAATCTACGTCATCAGATCACAACACCTGGCAACAATTACAACAGGGCACGTCATTTTTCAATAGGACCTGTGCAAGTCATGAACTCTGTCTCAGAAAGAAAAAGTCTCAGACTCATCAGCTCCTTGAGTATCCTGGGATGCATTTCATCAGGACCTGGTGACTTGCTGACATCTAACTTTCCTAAGTGATTTTTAACTTGTTCTTTGTGTATCCTATCTTCTAAACTTACCCTCTCTCTGCTTGTATTCACTACGTTAGGCACACCTCCAGACTTCTCGGTGAAGACCGAAACAAAGAAGTCATTGAGCATCTCTGCCATTTCCAAGTTTCCTGTTACTGCGTCTCCCTCCTCACTAAGCAGTGGGCCTACCCACACACACACACACACACACACACACACACACACACACACAAATTAGACTCAGCATCTTTCACATTGCCACCCAACCCAAAATCAGTGACTGCTTTTGAAAATGTTGTTTTTGGAGACTGTCAAAGAACAAAGCCTGAGAGAGTGGAAGAGCTAGAAAAAGAAATCAGGGGTTCTGACTCCTACACTTAGTGCCACTAAAATCACCAAATAATGCCTCTTGACTGTGCAATAATTAATCCTACCTTCTCTCTTTTCTCCGCTCATCCATTCTCTTATCCAAAGCTGCATATATAGCATCAGCTTCTTCATCATCTTTTTCATAAGGACCACTTGAGAACAAGCTCCCAGCATAGCCATTAAACTGAAAATTTTAAAAACAGGAACTTCAATTTAAAGATGCTGTTATATAGCAACTCTAGTTATCAATATCATTTGGGATAAAGAAAAGATTTTAATAAGCCCACTTCTAATATGAGCATCCAGCTAATATGGCACTAAATTAAAGCATCCCCTCCCTCTCCAAAACTCTAGGGATGTTAGCAGCTAGCCAGATAAATGTTTAACCAATAAGGCATTGCTTACCTGTTAACAGTCCCAGTTAACAGCAACAGGCCCCCCACCTCCTCCATGTGCTCTGCTTTTAAAACTCAGACTGGCAGACTGGCTCAGTCCAAGCCCGCTGGTCAGAGTTTTAATTGAAGATCACGCAGGGGAGCCGTCTGCCCCCTGAGCAGCTGCCTGTGTATCAGAGGCAACAGCGTGGGGCGGCAGGACAGAGCTGCACTGGCATCCCTGCACACAAATACTGCTCCAGCATCCCACTACCCTCGCGAATCACCTCCCACTTGCCACCGCTAATACAGAGGCAGCAGTGCGGGGTAGCAGGGGACCACATCGGCTGCTGACCTCACCCCCGGCGGGCATCAAATAATCACGTAACCATTAAGAATTTTTGTGGTTACACAGTTTCTAAATTAAACCATTTTTAACATCCCTATACTCTATGAATTTCAACAGTAAAACCTTCAAGTAAAGAATAAAAATTCCTGTAAAGTGAAAACGTTTCCTTCCTTTAACAAAAATACGTAATACTGAAATCAAATACAGAGGCATCCCACAGAGCAGGAGGACTCATGTTTAATTTTGAGATCCCACCCAAAACACTCAGGGACAAACAAACAATAAGCAAACATCAAAATTAAAATGACAAATATAGCAATGGCATCTACACAATGGGTAGCGTGAAGTGACTCTACAAGGAATTCTGCCTGTGTATCCTCTGCTGAAGGACTGGGGTGAGGGAGAGAGAATCACAAGTAACTCCCTCCACCAGGAGGAAACAGCTAACTGGAATGCTACAGCCCCATCACCTCATCATAATTGGTGTCATTCAGATCTTCATCATCATCATCAGCTGCCTGGTTTTTCTTCATCTGATCCCCAACTGTTCTCTTCCCTGGCGGAGCATGACGATCATCCACTGGATCGTTGGCATCTCGAGCTGGACCAATATCAGAACGGGTGGTAAAACCTGTAGCACTACATTGAGAGACCAGTAGACATCATTTAGCCTGTAGCAATAGTGCTACAATAAACTGATGTGTGTTTTAAACTCCGAAACTAGGCTTTACAAATATTGTAATTCACAGGTATGTCACCAGGTCCCCATAGTTAAATGATGTCACTTCAGAACATCTGTCCTCTTTAACAGACAGTTCTATGTAGGAGGGACCCAGGATTTATCCTCTCTCTCTGCCCTGCCCCTCCTCCAGGGATACCTCCTTTTTAAAAATACATAAGATGTGGGAAAGGGGAGTATGGAGTGAAAGAGAGCCTCCATCCTGTGTAACGCAAGGCTGTGCCTACTCAGAAACCCTAAATCCACTGTCCCCAGCATCTCTGTCCACCCACCTATGTGCATTAGAGTTACTTACATTGAGCTCCTATGGCCTTGACCACATGGGACAGTTGCATTGGTTTAAAATGTGATGTTAATTTAAATGGCTTTAGGGCTTGTCCACACCTACAATGCTGCAGCAAAGATGATACCTACACTGATTTAGGTGATCCACTTCCCAAAGGGATGGTAGCTAAACTGACAAGAATGCAATCTACATGGGGAGTTAGGTCAGTTTAATTGTGTTGCTCTGGGGCATGGATTTTTCAACTCCCCGAGCAAGGTAGTTAAACCACCATAATTTTCTAGTGTACACCAGGCATTAGCTGAAGCCTAATCCGAACTAGCTAGTCCGTGCTGCGTGTAGCCGCGCGGCACGGGGTCCGAACTACCCGGCATTTAAAAATGGCGCCGGCTGGCTTTATGCAAATGAAGCCCGGGAAATTCAAATCCCGGGCTTCATTTGCAACTCCGTATGACTACATTCCCCCCCCTAGTTCGAACTAGGGGGGTAGTGTAGACATACCCTTAGAAAGGAAAAGCTCTGCCATCACTATAGTATAGGTAGCAGTCTGCACTAGATGCTACAGCTGCTGTAAATGTAGACAAGCTCTAGGGCAGTAATGGGCAATCTAAGCTAACGAGTGGCCCTTCATCTCAGTGGGCTGCAAAATTGTCATAACGAAGACGGTCTCCCATGGCAGTTTTGCTAGTTGTGATTGCCTAAAAAGAATTTGCAGTGTGCAGACTGAAGGGTAGCAGCACCACCTTAACTGGATGCAGAGGGAGTGCACGGCTCTCACAGGCACTGCTGAGTGCAATCAGCATGCACCTCACTTCACATGCCCCTGCTTTGTGTGTGCATCACTTTAACAACACCCGTGGGGGGGAGGGGGAACCTACAGACTCAAATTAGCAGAATTTGGCAACCCTGCGCATGGGAACAGTAACAACATGTCCTGTGGGCCTCGCGTACCACCCCGATGGGCCGCAGGCTGCCCACCGCTGCCCTAGTAGATGACAGTCCAGCCCACTGGCCGTCCTGCCCGCGTGCCGAAGGGATTTAACTAAATCGGTTTAAATTCTCCCCAGGGGTGCCACGGTCCCCAAGACGGACAGCGCCAGGAGAGCGGCTCTGTGGGAGCCGTGCGACACACGCACCCTGCAGCCAGCGAGGAGCAAGGACACCAAGCCCATGCCCCGAGAAGGGCTCCTGGCGGCGGGGGCGGGTCCGGGGGG